GATTCCTGTATAAAAGGTGCTATTCAGATTTAAAGGCTACTGTTTAATATTACATTATCATTGACCAGGTCTTTCAGAAGCTAAGAAAATCAAGAGGCATTTTGTCTTGTGTAAAATGATAAACATATTTACAGCATTTCTGATGTGTCTTAATATATTTTCAGTAACTTTTTTTAGTGTTTTTCTCTGAGCTCAAATTTTGCTTTGTGTATTTCCTTTTCTCTCTCTCTGCCTCTTTTCTGTTGTTAAAGACATTTAACTTGAGGTTAAGTTGGGTGGGCAAGGAACATTCTTTCACGTTCCTTGTTCCTAGCCTATGTTTTCTGTTCATGTTACCATTGTTTGTTAATTTGTCCAACATGCTATTAGAATCCACTGTCCCTACTGACAAGTGATATTTCAGAGAAGCATGTGAAACATTACCAATGTGGATCAACTACTAAAATATCTGTATTAACTTCAAATGTAACATATTAAAAATATCATTATTGAGGTTTTTGTTTTGTCTTTTATGTCCTTTTTTTTTTTTGTTTACGTTCTGAGACAGGGTCTAGAAGGCTAGCCACAGTGTAGCCCACGCTGGACTTAAACTCACCAGTATCCTGTTGCTTCATTCTGAGTGCTGGAATTACAAGTGTGCGCTACCATGCCTGGGTTAAAGATAATTTGTTTTTTTAATATCAAATTTTTTAAACATTTAAGTATCTCCCTTCAAAGTACAGTCTCACATCCACGCTATATTTTATCATACTTGTTTAACTGATATTGATTATATTTTTTTATAGCTTAGTTAGAAGTCCCATACTTCCACACTGTAGCTTTTAAAAAATAGTGTTATCAAGGTCTTTAAATAAAGATTGCCTTATGTTTCTTGTTTTGGATGCTATTTTGAGTTTGATCATCAAATACTCTGTTTGTATGTGCCAGGGTAAGGTTGCTGCCCTTTATTTTGACTTAACCTTTCAGGTTTGTAGGTGAAAGCTGGGTGTTATTAGAATGATATATTTTTACTGTTTCTCCTACACTTGTCCTCCCCCAGGAGGCCATAATTTCCTATACTTTATCTTCCACTTTACCTTCTGCTTTTCTTAGATTTCTTGTATAAACAGTGTGTCTAAGTGTAGTGGTAGTTTTAAAGAGCTTAATTTGCATATTTCCCTCTTATCTTACTACTTGTGCTAACTTGTTGCTTTTTTATGTGCAACAGAATGTTTATCTGTCTGATTTTTCTCTTTTTCCTACAAGTGTATTTTGTAAAGTAATTTTTTGAACGGTTTGCTTAGAGTGCTAAAATGAAGATACTAAAACTTAAGCAATAAATAATACATTTCTACTTAAGGTGAGATCGTAATGTTCACCATTGTTATGTAAACTACACTTAATAGATTAATATCACACTGGTGTGATTAATTAGTATTGATTTAACTGAGAATTTCCCTTATAACTGCAGAAGTATTTACTGTTGACAGATTTACCAACTTAAACTTGTCTTTCACTCGGTATAAATTATTTTTAAAAAGATGACACTTTTTTTTGTAACAAGAAGACATAAGTCAGAGGACCCAAAATTTGTTGAATTCTGCCACTATGGGCCTTGTATTTCCTTTTCCAAACTATTCTATCTCTGACTTGGACAACAAGCTCTTACTCCGTCGTTTTTAACGTTCGCTCTTTGACAGTTTAGGGACTACTCTCCTCTGAGAATACTTAGGAGAGCATTTTCTAGCTCTTGGCCTTTATAGCCCAGCAAATGATTCTGCGCCTTCCGCGCGTCTCCGCACGATCACCTCCCGACTGTCCCTCCGGCCACTTCCTGGAGTGTCCCCCACCTCCGCGTGGGCGCCGGCCACCTGGCGTGCCAGCCCCTCTCCCGCGGGCCGCGCCCCGCCCGCTCGCCCGTCCGTCCGTCCGTCCCTCGGTGGCCGCAGGCGACGCTCCCGGCGTAGTCCTTTCTGCGGCTTTTGTGGCTGTGGGTGGCTGGGTCGTGCCCCACGCCCGGCTCCGGCCCCTTCCTCCCTTCACTTTCGCCCCCGCCCCCGCCCCGCGGTGCCGCCCTGCCCCCCGCCCCCCGCACACCTGCCCGCCCCTCCCGCGGCGGCTGCCCCTCCCGCCGCTCCCTTCCCCTCCCCTCCCGGCTGCTCGCTCCGCTCCTCTCCGCGCGGCGCTGCGCTGCGTGGCGGCCGCTGCCAGGGAAGCCCCTCGCCTCCTCCCCTCCGCGCTCTCCCCGGCGCGCCTGGCGGCGGCCAACACCAACCCCACTCGGCGCCCTGTTATTCTGGGTATTGTGTGTAATAAATGTCGGGCCGCCTCACTCTAATCAAGCTCATTACAAATTCGTGCGCGCCCGGGCCGGAAGCCGCGCGCCTCCCCACCCCCAGCCGCACTCATTCACGAGTTTCTCGGCGGAGGCTCCGCTCGCCTCCCCGCCCCCTCCCCAGTCCCGGCCTCCAGCCCGGGTTTTAATCCCCGTCCCTCGCCGCGCCGTGCACCCTGCCCCCCGCGTCCTCCGCCGCTCGCGCCCCTTCCTCCGCCTCCGCCTCCCCCTCGCCGCCGCCGCTCGCTCCCGCTCCCGCTCCCCGGACGCGACGGAGCAGCCGGCCCCGCTGGGGAGCTCCGGGCGGCGGCGGCGGCGGGCGGCCGGGAGGAGGCTGCGTGCTCCGGCGGGGCCGCGGCCGGGTGCTCTGTATTAAAATGAGGAGGAGGAAGAGGAGGCAGCCACAGCGGCGGCGGCGGCAGCGGGAGCAGGCGCGGCGGCGGACCGGGCTGCAGCCGGGGCGGACGCGCGGAGCCGAGCGGGGCCCGGCGGCGGCGGCGGCGGCGGCAGCGACTGCGGCCGGGATGAGTCAACTCCGCGTTTAATGGGGCCAGAGAGGCGGCCAGGGCCGAGCGAGGAGGAGGCGGCCCGCGCGCCCGCCGCCAGCCCGCCCGCCCGGGACTCGCGCTCACACGCACGCACACACGAGCGCACACTCACACCTCTCCCTGTGCCACCCGGCAACCACCGGCCTCGTCACAACAACAACAACAGCAACTGCCGCCCTCCGGCCCGCCCGGGACCGAGCGTGGGGCAGGGCGCCTCCAGGGGACGCTGCCCGCCTCCCCTCTCCTCCCGGGAAACTCCTGAGCAGTTTGGTCGGCTTTCTGGGCGCCTTCCTGCCCCCGTCCTAGTGCCATTGTGGTGCTCGTTGTTTACCTCGTACTCGGGCTGAAGGGGAGCCGGGCGACTTTTGGGGGGAGGGGGCGGGGAGCGCGTCGCCGCCAGGCACGGCGGGGGCTGGGGGCGCCCCATCTTCCGCCCCTCCCCCGCCCCAGACCCCCGCTCCCCCCGCGCCCTGGGCGCCCGGGACGCGCGCAGCCCCGCGTCCATGGGCAGGGACGGGGTCCTCCGGGCTGTTGTCAGCGAGGGCGGGAGCAAAAGTGGCATTTTAGTGCCTTTCCGGGGCTCTTTTGGCGACCCTGTGTCCCAGACTCCCGCTGTCCCCTGGTAGATGCTCTCGGGGGTGCGAGACTGTGGGAAAAGTTTAAGGTTTGTTAATATTAGCCGCAATTGTCGGGGAGGGGGTGGGGGTGGTGGGGAGGGAGGCGAGGTGGCCTTTCCTGCTCCGCGTTCTCCGGGGTTCTGGAGGAGAATACTGCAAGTGACAGCCAGAAGTAGACTTTCTGTTCTCGCACCGAAGAACCCTAGCAAGCGCGAGGGAGGACAAGAGAACCCCTTTCCCCCCCTCTCCTTTCTGGAGACCTTGTCCGCAGTGGTTGTTTTTTTTTTTTTTTTTTCCTTTTTAAGAGATTCTTCAGTCACCACCTCGCCTCCCCAGCACCACCATAGTGCACAGCTCCTAAAGCGTTTTGCTTTGTTTTTGCTACCCCCCCCCCACAGAATCACTTGTCAGATCAATTTTATCTTCTTCCTCCTCTCTACTTCCCACTCTCCCCTCCTCCCCATCGAAAACCTTGTTCTCTGAGGTTAGACATTTTACAAACCCTACATATGTTGTTTTTCGAACTGTGATTTTTTTTTTTTTAAAGCCCTCTCCCATGGCTACTCTTGTAGACGTTTATTTCTGCCCTTCCCCCGCTTAGGGGGGGCGGGAGTAGGGAAAGAGAAAATAATACAATTTCAGGGGAAGTCGCCTTCAGGTCTGCTGCCTTTTTTTTTTTTTTTTTTTTTTTTTTTTAATTAAAAAGAAGGGATATAGAAAACATCAGTCTTGAACTTCACTTCAAGAACCCCGGGCTGCAAAGGAAATCTCCTTTGTTTTTGTTATTTATATGCTGTCAAGTTTTGAAGTGGTGAGTTTCAGGTCGGTTTTGCTAATTTCACTCAGTAAAACTGCAGTGTTTCTGTTTCTAGATAGTACTTTGCTTCTTTGTCTCTTTAAAAGGTCACAGTGAAAGCTTGGCCTGGATCACGCTGGCCATATGGAATGGATAAGGGCACCGGCTCTTAAATTGTGATTATGGGGCTCAGTGGGGGCCAGAGAAGAGATCTAGCAAGGAACTCATTGAAAAGGATCCCACTATGCAAAAATTAGGTTCTTGAAAACGGAATTTCTTGTTTTTCTTTCTTTTTAAGAAAATAATTGCTGAGGCTGAGTTCACTGTTTTATTCAGTAATTCTCATATACGGTCTTACTTTATGGACAGGGAAATGGGATTTTGATAAAATAGCCTGCACTGTATGTGCCAAACAGACGTTGCACTAAAATGGGTTGTAAAATGTATAACTCAAAAGAAACTCTTCAGTTTGGCATCTGTTGAGACCACAGTTAGTTCCTGCTGCTGCTGCTGTCAGTCCATGCAGGCCTGTTGGGAGGTTGCTTTTCTCAATTCCAAACTGAGATTGGTGAACTTTAGCCTTGGGCATAGAATTTAAAAAAATAAATTGGGTGTTTTATGTGCATGTAATTTTGCTTTATAATGTAAAGCTTTTTACAGGATGACTTAATGTTAATAGACGCTTATAGGTGGGTATTCAAAGGACAATTCTGCATGACCTATATGATGTTTTGTTTGCCAATACATTAGCTAAATTATACTCTATCACTTTCATTTGCTCTACAGTTTATAGTGCTGTTAAAGCCTGGTGATTACTTACTATGTTTTGTGGTGTTAACTTTGATACTGTTGTGTACTTTTTCCTCTTTTCTCTTGTGTTGCCCCAAGGGTTAAAGATTTTTCTTTGGATATCATGTGTTCTAAAATTCATTGCTGTAAGGCAACCAATTTAGAAAAAGCAGTTCTCCATTATAGTCCACATGAAACATTATAAACCGTGTTTTGAATAAGTTAATAATCATCTAATTTTGGCTTTAGACTGCAGTTTAATATAATGGAAAAGAGTAATCTTGATAAAAAGTGGTTTAAAAGGGTGCATTTATTGTTAATGAACCTCATAACCAAAAACAGATGGGACCCCCGATCAACGGTAAACCTTTGGTTCTCAGTGTGCCACCCTGAAGTACAAAGATAAATAGCATTATTATTTCTCAAACTTTATAGTTCTTCAGTTGGCACTTCTTAAGGTTGCTTTTACCTCCAGATTAACCATCACTCTTCCCTTGCTTGATTATGTAGGATGAAGCAGTCTGTAGTTAAAAAATGCTCACAGAAAGCCATGTAATACAAACTGACTTTCAACAAATCAAGTGTAAATAGTTTAGGTATAATTTCTTTAATACAAGATATGTTAAATTAATAGACAGCTGGGAGAAATTGGTAATTATCAGTGTCCTTTTTCCTAAATATGTTCCCCTTAGTGTTGGTATTCCTAAATTAATAATTCTCACCTGCTCTTGTCAACTGTAGTTAAAACTTATTTTAGAAGTGACTTTTATATTGAACTAATATCACCTTATAAACAATGTAAAATATTCACTAAAACAACATAATTATGTTTTTTCCCGAAATTACAGTACTACCTTCATTGCATAATGAGATTATTTTTGAATACTGGGAATGATGTTTTACCAATATCAAGGTTTTTTGTTTTAGCGTGAACTTAGCACATCCCCCTATTGTGATATAAAGTCTTTTCAGGTTTTGCTTTTTAAATGGAAGAACACATTTTATTGGTAATGCACAAGTAAATGTTAACTTTGAAAGACAAGTTGGCTTGTAATTCTTCAGCACCTAGAATATTTAAAGAAACCCTCCACTTCTTGCTGTTCGCTTAGGGATGAAATGACCCAGTATCATGTGTGACCCAAGACTTGACTAGACCTTTGGTCAGCAGACCTCTTGAAACTTTGATAATAGAAAACTTGTCTGTGTTAGTGTGGGAAGCCAATTGGGAATCTAAACAGTATTTAAAAATGTTCATTGCCTTTTGAGATGTTGAATATGTTTTTCTCAATTAAAACACGTGTAAAACATGAACATGCACCAGGTTTAGTATTTTAGAGTGATTATTCTATCTTATTAAAATGTTGCTGTTGTGGTATGTAATGGGTTTGTAGTTTTTAAAAATTACAACTGCATAAATACAATTTGTTACTTTTCTTTCTAGCTTGTTCTAAAAGCAAGCCGGATTTTGTTCACTTTAGTTTTGTTTGTAAATAACAAATCACCTTTTTATTAATGTTTGTTGATACAGGTGCCACAAATTATTCATTTGAACAGAAATGTGCTACTATCTAGAAATATAGTAACACCTGTATAATAGATGTGTAGCTTTACAAATATATTTGTAGAGAGAAAAGTCTAGTAAATGTTTTTATGGGACACATACATAGCTAGAAACCCTCACCCAATTGTAACATGTCTCTCTTCTCTTTAAATACTGGCAGGTAATCTTTGTAGAGAGTGACTGAGTATGGATCATTTGAACGAGACAACTCAGGGGAAAGAACATTCAGAAATGTCTAACAATGTGAGTGATCCGAAGGGTCCACCAGCCAAGATTGCCCGCCTGGAGCAGAACGGAAGCCCTCTCGGAAGAGGAAGGCTTGGGAGTACAGGTGCCAAAATGCAGGGAGTTCCTTTAAAACACTCTGGCCATCTGATGAAAACCAACCTTAGGAAAGGTAAATATTTTTGAGCCAAACCTAGATTGCTACATGCAAGTATGGTGTCTTCCCCGAGCCCTGTTTTATGGGGTGGAGAGACAAGACCATGCTTTGTATATTCTTCTCCTAGATTCTCCTTCTGCTGTGAAATTAGTTATATTCTGGATTTCAGTATCAGTTATGTTTTCAGTGTATAGCCTGTGTTCTTGAGAGGGAGATCTTACTCTATTACAGACTGGAATGATTGGACTTTTTGAATGATAAAGATTAAGTACAGTGGTTATAGTTTATGCCTGGGTCGGTTCAAAAGGTGTAATTATGGTGAAGAGTAGTAGGTGACTGTTACTGATCCTTGTTAAGAATAAGACAGGTTGTTTGTAAATCACCTAGCTATTTTATTTTTTTTTAAATGAGTATGACTTGTAAGGTAATTTCAGAATTCATGAAAATCTTACCTAAGGTGATATAAAAGTTTGGTAAAACAGTTTTTCTTTTCTGAAGAGCATATTCATTATTTTGCAGTAGAAAATCTGATGATGCTAGTTTTTTAAGTTTTGCTATATTTGGTTATAGGAAGGGAAGATTTAGATGACTTTATGAAAAAAAAAGGCATATAACTGCTTTTTACCAATATGAAACTTGATAAAGTTTAACAACTTTGAGTATGTGTGATATAAAGTAGGGCCTACCTTGTGTGTGCTTTATAAGGATTTTTATTTTGTTTCTGAATAACATGTATAGAAATCAGATTCTCCTTTCATTTGCTAAGCAAAGGATAAAAATGCCATCTTTTAGCAACCAAGAATATTAAGTAGATAAAGTTAGAAGGCAGAGGAATTTCATTGTGTTTGATGCATAACATTTATCATACAATCATTTATTTTTTCCTTGGTTTGGAGAAAACAAAGAATATATTGATCCTGAAATGAACAGACACAGCAGTCCGTATTGTTAGATCTTTATCTATTAAAAATGGAAAAACAGCACTTCAGCAAATTCTTTGGCCTCTACTCATGATTACCCTATTTATTGATTGTTTGCCAAGAATGTATGCATCTTAAGAAAGCCAGGGTAAGAGCATTAAAAATATAATTTATTATGGCTTTTCAAACAGAGTGCATTAATATTGTACTGTGAAGCACTGGGGCTCTATAAAAAAGACTTTCTGACGCCTGCAAACATATAAGTTCCATAAATTCCTAAATAGGAGATTTCAGCTGTCTCTGGTATTATGTGATATTTGCACAGCAAACTTTAATGCCAGGACAGTTTTAGACAAGGATTCTACAGACTTCACTGCTCCTTATGGCAGACGTGCTGTTTACACAGGCTCATAAACCTTCAGCAAAAGCTCCTAAGACTGCCTTCAGGTTTAAATCATGTGGTATTTTTAGCGTTCAGCAGTGACCAGTACTCTTCCCCTTTTAATGCTGGAAGATTGTGAAGTTGCTGTAGTTGGAAGTCTCACCAAACATTAGGACAAATAATCAAACATTCTAGAAGGCTCCTGCTTAGCATTACTCCCAGTAACAGCAGGGCAACTCTGACAGTTTGCTAGAAAATTTAGCAGCTGGATCTATAATTGGATGATATTATTGTTACTTTCTCTGTTGCTGCCTTTATTAGCTTATAAGGTACCTTTAAATTTGATCAATACAGTACAAAGTAAATTCAGTATATTTCAATAGTTTAAAAAGCCTACATTGTTTCATAATCTGAGAAGTTATTTCATAGGCCTGAGAAGCAGTATATAATGGAACACATCTGTTTCATCCCATAAGAAGAAAAAAATCATTGTATATGTTTTTGTTGTACTAACCTAATTCTTTGAAGACATCAGTGCAATGGGAAGAAGAACCAAAGTATAGTAATTTCACTTTCTGCTGAAATTTTTTTTTTTTGAGAAAAAATTTTATTTATGATGACATTTTTAGGAATACAGTTTATGTAGAAAAGTCTCTCTTTAATCAAAATATAGTGTCACTAAAGCCTTTCAGTGTTTTGTCCCTCTCATCTTATTTTTTATGAGTATGGTTTTTGTTTGACAGGTGCTAGATAAAAATTGTAGGTAAGCTGAGAACACACTACTAAGAAAAAGGGATTGAATGTTTTTTTTTGTTTAAGAGATTTTGCCAAAATACCTTCAAGCCAAGGAAGAAATCACCAGTTTGCATATTGCTATTTTTGCTGTAGTCTCCCTAAGTCATCTTCTGATCCGTGATGGGCTCTCTCTCTGGTATACAACAGCTGAATGAATGACAAGAATACTGGCAAGCTTCGTAGCTTATTTTTCATGCCTAGTCTGTTGGTACTTCTGAATGAGTTTATAAGCTTCTCTAAAAACTAAAGGGGTTTGTCAGAGCTAGAATCTCTTGTAAATAGTTCACTAAAGCTTTGGTGAAGACACACATGTGGAAAAATGTAGCTATTTTATCACAGGCTTTTGTTCAGAAGAAACAGGCAAATAGAGAATTTGTAAAGGGCCTCTCTGGTGTCAGTAGGAAATACACATTTTTGGAGATGGTTGGTATGCACTAGACATCTTCAGAAGTTGGTGGTTCTTGAGTCCAGAGAATAGATATTACACTGGCATGATGTTATAGGACTAACTGGGGATCCTAAGTACCCCGTTAAAGTAACCCTTGTCATCATGATTCTAAAAGTGATACCCTTCTGGCAGTTTGCCATGGTACAGTTCAGTTACATCTGTTTTTAACCCTTTTCAGTTATCACTGCAAGTATGGCAGTATGCTGGCTAAGCACCTTGGGTGCAATAGCAGTCTGTGATTTCAGTTTCTAGTCATAGCCTCTTTTCTAAGAGTGGTGTGACCTGTCCTTATTAATCATCTGGTAACTGAGTTATTACCTTGGATTAAAATAAACCAAGAGAGCACATCAGATCCATGTAAATTCCTTGATTCTAATACATCCTGAAAAGGCCACTTTATTTTTCTCTCTCATTCTTATCATGTTATATAATGGAACTTGCTCATGTTAAAGACTGTGAACAGTGGTGTGACCTATGCTTATTAATCATCTGGCTACTGAGTTATTATCTTGGATTAAAGTAAAGCAAGTGAGAGCACATCAAATCCGTGTAAATTCCTTGATTCTGATATATCCTGAAGAGGCCACTTTCCTTTTCTCTCTCATTTTTATCATGTTATATAATGGAACTTCTTCATTTTAAAGACTATGGCCACTATGATACCTTTTTAGTTGGGAAGATTAAATGAGTAGTTTCAGAAATAAGTGTTATTTATTGCTACATTATACACATTGAAATTGTGTGTTAGGAACATCAGTTTGGTTTTTTTCCTTGAATGGAACCATTAGAGTAAATATCTCAAAAAGAATGGTAATTTTTTGACCAAAAATAATTTGTTTAGACACAAACAAGAAAAGTTTATCATTAACGGAAGCAGATACGCAGTGAGAAGGTGGGTTCTGAAGACAGCTGCAGTGCATTCTGTTGTGTATGCTGTATACTCCTCAGCAAGTCGGATAAGACACATTTCTCTCTTGTCAGCATTATTATTGGATCAAAAAAGGTAATTCTGCATTGGAAAATGCACCAGTAAAATTAAAGCAGAGCTCATGTTATCTTAAGACCAACTTCATATTCCATTTAAATATTTCTCTTACAACTTTAAAAAATAAAAGATTGCATATATTTTATATTTGTGTGTGAATGTCTGCATCTCTGTGCCCTGTCTGGCTTGGAAGCAGTCTCTCACAGTTATATTTATTTTTATAGCTTGATTTTTCCTGCCCCTCCAATGGTATTTCTGAAGATTGTTGTTTTCCTGTCTTTTTCTCGGTCTTTTTGATAGGAACCATGCTTCCAGTTTTCTGTGTGGTGGAACATTATGAAAACGCCATTGAATATGATTGCAAGGAGGAGCATGCGGAATTTGTGTTGGTGAGAAAGGATATGCTTTTCAACCAGCTGATAGAAATGGCACTGCTGTCTCTAGGGTACTCACATAGCTCTGCTGCCCAGGCCAAAGGTAAATAATGCATATGTGGGGTGGGAAAAATTGCTTGGCATCCTTTGTTTACCTCGTAGAGAAAGCAGTGAATATCTTTATTCAAAGAGCTGTAGCCCGTGTTTTACATTGGTTCCTTATAGACTGTGGCTTTAAAAAATTGGCTTAATTCAGTTTGGTTTAGTTAACACACATTTTGCTCATGTGGAATGTTGAGGTAAATTTTTTTTTTAAATTACTTCAGCTGAATCATTAGTATGCTTATTGACCTTAATAATCTGCTCCACTGAGGACCCACAAGGAAGTGAGGAGCGTATTTGAGCAGATGGACTGTTGAGAGTCAATTTGCATTTATGACTGAATATCTAGTTCTGTTTCTTTTATTCTGTTTCTGATGGTTTTATGGGCTGTAAAGTATTTTTCAATGCTGATTCCCACTGCAATAGAGAATCTTATCTAAATCGTAAAGCCATTTAGAACTGGTTCTGCTGTCTTATTAGAACTTTCTGTAAGTTAGGAAAATGTGGCCTTACGCATAGGTTTTATTGATGAGGTTTTATTTCCAAAATAATAAACAACCCTATAGTCATTTACATAATTTCACAATTTGGAAAGCTAAGCTGTGAATATTTTCATTGACCTGCCTTTTAGAGGAAAGGAAATCATTCAAACAGAAACAACAATATTGCTTGTGGTGGGGGCAGTGGAAAAAAAAAAACCTTCTATTAGATATATCATGTGAGAGTAAAATAGTCAGTGACATATTCTCTTTATCTGGTAGGGCTAATCCAGGTTGGAAAGTGGAATCCAGTTCCACTGTCTTATGTGACAGATGCCCCTGATGCCACGGTAGCAGATATGCTTCAAGATGTGTATCATGTGGTCACACTGAAAATTCAGTTACACAGGTGAGTCAAGGCTGTGGCTCTGGGATGAAACATTCTCCTTGCTAGGTCTGAAATAACATGTCATTACCCTGTGTTCCGGAAAGGTTAATCCAGATTTATTTTGTTACCTTACCCCTTCTGTTCTTTTACCCTAACTTCAGTATATAATTTAATGTCCCTCAAATTTGTAGATTTTTCTAGGTCATCAAAAGACAAGACTTTTTATACTCAGTTAAATGATGCATTATAAGGAGGCATTTTACATAAAGTTTACTTAAGAAAAAATATTTTTGCATATCATGAACAGTACCATCTGTGTACATTTTGTGAAAGAATGCCTTATTCACTATTGCCATGATCTTATTTATTTACTGTTTTTTACCATTTTATTTCATATGAACAGAGTAACGAAGGGAAATCAGTTAATACATTAATGCTTTTCACAATGGCTTCTGAGAAAGCAGTACACCTTAAATTGTCTTCCCAAGCGCATCAGAGCAGGAAGGTAGAAGTAACATGAAAAAATAGCCACCACAGGCAGCTGATGTATAATTCATGCATCGATACAGCAGATGTGTTGTATAAAGTAATTAACTAATCGGAACAATCAGGAGACCGAGAGCAATCTCCAGATGCATCTGTTTGATGCGCAAAATGAAATCTGTCTGTCTTAAAGGAATGTTCTGCAGCGGGATGCAATCTTGTAATAATCCCCTTTCTAATCTATGTCTCAAATAGTTGCCCCAAACTAGAAGACTTGCCTCCTGAACAATGGTCGCACACCACAGTAAGGAATGCTCTGAAGGACTTACTCAAAGATATGAATCAGAGTTCATTGGCCAAGGAGTGCCCCCTTTCACAGGTACTTAGCATAGCATGTAATAAATAATAAGATATCGTGGGCAATTTGGGCTTGAGGTCTGATGGTGCTCTAGAGTATAAAGCAACTGGTATCTGAAGCAAGAATTTTGCCAAAAATGCACAATTACTTGACCACTGTTGACCTTTAAAATGTGCCCAATTCATTCTGAATAGTCTTTACACTTTTCTCCCTTGGGGGAAAGCATTAAGGACTGTTCACAGGAAAAACAGTTAAGCAGAAAACTGTGCTGGCTAGTCTTAGATTTTTCTTAGTGCTCTGAGCATGGTAGCTACAGTCTCTTTAGTGACTTCTTGAAGTAAGAGGCAGAGTGGTATAACTTGCTCAGGGGTTTGGCACATGGAAATAGCAGTGTTAGTGTTAACATGCAGAGTTTCAACATGTTGTCCAAATAAACTAAGAATATAGTTATTGGCTACTTTGTTCATTATGGGGTGTGGGTGTATTTAGCAGAAGAAAAAATAAATACAGGAATTTCTTGTCCAGATCAAAGATTGAATAGTTATTATTCATTAGGATTCTGTGAGCTGTTTTATAGCATTAGTTTGTTGGTGTTTTTATGTTTTTAAGTGGAATCTTTTTTCTTTTGAGATGCCTGTTTTATCATTAGGGATTTCTGAAATGAGATTTATTACTGTACTTCATTCTTTGGATGAATTTTGTTGAAGAACTACCAAAGCTTTAGATAGAAACTGCCATTGTTTCCAGATTTAAAAACCATGCATCATTTTTAAAAATGCTCAGTTGATCTCAAATAAGAAAGAAAAAGGATGCTGTAGACCCACTCTTGGTAGTCTGCTTATGTGGTTACAACGTAACATGTTATTATGCTGTCCCTTATTACCCAAACCCATAATATACTGTAATTGAGGTATAAGTCTGTTAGATTTTTGTTAAATTTTAAAGTTTTCTTTTAATTCAGGCTGAGAACTGTGATTCAAATATTAATCTGTCATTTAAAATTGTATCTAGGACTTCTGTAAGCATTTCTGTAATTGAGAGATTGTCAAATTTATACTGTATTCTGGGTAGTAGATACTCTCAAATATACTCTCAAGGAGTATTTTGTGTAAGGCTCATGAAAATACGTACCTTAGGAAGGAACCTTGTGGGCTTTTTTTCTACTTTTCATGAAGCACTCTTTGCAAGTCAGGTTTCATACATTATAATCCTATAGCTTCACTTTTAGCAGTTTTAGGAGTAGAGAAAATCTAAATTAAGCTACAGCCTCAAATTAAATATTCTCTGTATTGTTAAGCACCAGTTTCTTACAATTTAGGGCAAATGGTTTTTTTTGTCAGTTCAGTTATCCATGCAGCTAATTTCTATCCTGCTTCTCTCAAATAGAATCTGAAATTATAATTGTCATATAAAAATTTTAAATTAACAGAGGTACAGCAATAGAATTACATAAAGATAACTTATTTACTTTTGGATTTTGTGTTTTGCAAACAACTCCAGGTAACATGTTTATTAACATTTTAGGTATTTGGAATGACCTAGAATTAAATGATTTTTAAATTCAGAGTTTAAGAATATGAATCTCATATATCTTCATGTTACTGAATGTCCCGTTGGTTTCAGAAGTGCATTTAAAAACATACTGTATTTTTTTGTCTTTTTCATTTTTCTGGGTACCAGGGATCGAACCCAAGACTGCCTGCTTACCAGGCAGGCGCTTATGCCACTGAGCTAAATCCCCAGCCCCTAGACATAATGCATTTTACTATGACCTGGAAAAATGTATACTACAAATACTTATTGATACATTCAGTGAGAACTATTTGTTAAATGGTATCAACATTCAGCCAATAAACTACCACACTGTAGCTTTTAAATATAATTGTGAACTTAATGTTGTCATGCAAAATGAATGCTGATAATTACAACATTAAATAAAATGATTTAATAAAATTTAGAACTGGGTAGAGTCATACATAGGTGAATTTCTTGTATGGAGGTCTTCAGAGGAACACATGACCTTGTGTTGATGAAGACCTCACCATAATTCGATGGAACTAGACTGTGATTATAGCATGTGTTATTATTACAATATTCTTTTCTTAATATCTTTTGAAAATAGTGTGCATATTTTAGTGGCAGCAAACTTTTTAATTCAACTACTATTTTTAAAAAAATAACCTTTCAGTGAGGGAACAACTTTATATTTTGCTGTATCATCTTCTTTAGAATGAATCTATAAATTAAATGCTCAATGATTTTATTAGAACTTTTCTACTTTTCCTTCATTTTTTTCCCTCAAGATGGAAGGGGCTCCCTAGGGGCCTAAGCCTAAATAAATATTTCTCTTTCTTCTGTGTTTGAGATTCGGTGGTGTAGACATTGTACTGAAAAATGCCTACTAAATAAATACTGCCTTACTTTTATACAGAATGGAGCTTAATTCCAAGAGATTCTTTATTGAGGTTGTACTTCTCTCATGAAAATTTTGTTTCATTCATGTGAGAACTGTTGATATATTTTTCAACATATACATTTTACTGTATATTAAAGGTTTTGTTTTCTTTAATATGATGCAATATTCCAGTAGATGATTACAAGCTCCCTAAATAGTGTTTAGCAGAAAATCTACCCTGTGGGCAAATAGTGGCCTTCTGCAGAGGCTAAAATGGAGAAAGAATAGCAAACCATCAAGAATTTGCCTGGGGTATTTGACAAACTCTGTGTCCAAAACTCTTAGGAGGATTGTCTAATATTTGCCAAGCAAATGTCTAGTTGTTCTTGGATTCTTCGATTTAGAAAAGACCATCCCTTCCTGGCTCCTCTTTTGAAAGATGAAGGAACTAATGTCCCTAGAGGTTTAAAGTCAAAGTGCCAGGTAATGACTAACCCAGATGTCCTATTTCCTATGTCCTTGCCCAGTGGTGGATTTTAGTGTCGATATTAAAATAGTTCCTTAGGTTTTTGTGCAATAATGTTTTCTTTGATAATATTTGCAAAGTTTTCTCCAGCTGCAGAAATTCCGTAAGTGGGTACGTGGTTTGATTTACAACTCGTACTTTTATTTCTGTTATTAGTTTCCTATCATAAATCTGCCCAAGTAGATTGATGTGTGTTTATTAACTTCTGTGTATCACGTGTTTGCTTATTTTTGTAAAATGTTCTAAGACATAAAAATGCTTCGCTCATTATAGATCTGAGGTGGTTGGATGTTTTGTGGCTTTTGTTTTCTTTCAGTGGATGTGGTTAGATAAGTTGGATGTTGCATTCTAAACTGAGACTAAGTAGGAGAAAATAAAGTCTGATTTAGGGGTAGGAAAGCTTGTAGTCACAAAACTTCTGAGGTATGGATTTAATAGTAAGTTGGGAATTAAAAAACATAACAGTGAAACATTAAATCTTGATTGTATTTTCCCCTAGAGTTTTAGAAATTTAATTTAAACATTGGATAAATACATACATTCTGATACAGGGACAGATAATTTTGTTAAAGTTACCTTAAGTAAAAGGTCAGTTATTATTTCTGCCAGTCTAATGTTTTCTTTTTAAAAATGTTTGAGTCAAATAGTACTGAAAGATTTTTAAACTGCTGCGTGCATTTTTACCTCCCTACCTTCGCCATACATGTATGCTTGTGTGAATACACAGGCATGTACGCGCAGAGAACTTGCACGTTTTTTAAAGTCATTGAGTAAGACATTTTCTATTTGATTTCTCAGCTGGGGAAAAGGTATCTCCACGTCAAATGCAATATAAAGTGAGTGAGAATTGTCATTTCTATTTTCAGCTAGTAAAACATATTAAGATAAATTTAAATTTGAACATCTTATTTAGAAATAAAATTGAGAAAGGTGACTTAAAATTTTGCTTTTTCTGAGGACATCTGAGGATCTGATGGGCATTGGAGTTTTCATTAGGCACTAACAAAACAAATAATCAGAAACTTTCCCGCCTTCCTGACACTTCATAGTTAAGGAGGTTGATTCTCTAAAATTTGACAGTCATTTCAATAGGTGTTTTAATAAACTCGAGTGTTCAGCTGATTTTCAGTATGTATTACAAGAATACATACTGGAAGAAAAATTTTTAAATCTATTCTATAATAGTAATTTTCTTAAAAACAACTGCACTATGGTTTTTCCCTTAACATTTTTTACTGTAATGACACATTTCTTAAATTTTAAAATATTAATAGTCACACTCTTTCAAAAGAGTATCAAACCTCAATATTAATATATTGTATTTTACAATATATTAATTATTAATGAGAGACTAATCTATGTATTCGCACATTCATATGTTTATTCACTCAAAAATATGTATTGAAACAGTAATTTTAAAAAGTGTATTGATTGTTTGGTTTGTCCCAGGCATCCTATTTCCTGTCGCAGTAAAGATAGCACATCTTAATAGCTGAAATAACACATGATTAACTTCATTTAGTGCTTTCCATGTGTCTCATGCTTCTGTCTCCCTAAGTAGTAAACACTTTTATACCCCTTGTTCAAATGAGAACCTGCATCACAAAAGGTGTGATTGTCCATAACTACGCTGCTGGTGAAAGAGAACACAAGAACTGAGAGGCCCAGAGCCAGGGAACTTAACCCAGTGTCCTTGGCCACATATGTAGATAAGGTTTAAAAAAGAAAAAGAAACTTCATATTAATTTGCTGTGTTTCATAATGCTCTTGAATTTCTCAGAAATAGTGATACTATTTGCCTTTTTCCAGTTGTGTTTATTTTCACCGTCTTTGATTTTGTTTGGCAAAGGTGTTTTTGTTTGTCTTGCTCATATATTGACTTGTTTTAAAAGTCCCATCGTTCCTCGCCCCCTTTTCAAGACATGTCAGAGTAGTTAAGACCACTGGGACTCTGCTGGATAAGCTGGCACTCAGGCTGTCACTTGTGTTCCCTACTCTCTTATTTTCTCAAGATGAGTAGGTATAATTGTACTAATAGCCCTTTGTTTGAAACTCAAGGTAATTTTAAGCTTTTTTGCTAAATTGAGAATGCTGAAAATT